AATCACACTAAATGGATAACAAAGCTTCCTTCTGAGAGAAAGGGTGAGATTGGGGAGGATTTCAGGTTTTTACTATACGTGTGCCTGGTATTTTTAAATATTTAAAAATGAAAATATATTCACGATTTGAGTAAATACATTAAAAAAAAAAATTAAAAAATAAGTACAGTCGAGGGGGAGGTCATCCCAAGTGGGGAGATCTGGGTGTATATGGTGGGGAGAGTCCTTTGGCCCAGAGCTGCAGTGTCCCTAGTGTCCTTCCTGCCCCAGGGCAGAGCCCCAGATGCCGTGTCCCTTTGTTTCTCGCCTTCTCTGGGACGTGTTCCTCCCTCACCCACCACCCTCTCTCTTTAGGGTCTTCCTACCACTAGGCCTACTGAGGGATTTCTCATCTAAAAATGTCTCCCTGGTCTTTTATTCCCCACCAGCTATTGCCCTATTTCTCTGCTCCCTTTAATAGTAAAACTTATTTTTTTTAAAAGAATGGTTAATTGATTTTTAGAGAGCGAGGAAGGGAGAGGGAGAGAGAGAGGGAAACAGTGATGTGAGAGACAAACATCAGTTGGCTGCCTCCTGCACGCCCCCTAGCGGGGATGAGCTCTGAATGGGAACTGAACCGGCAACCTTTCGGTGCACCGATGAGCCCAACCACCTGAGCCACACTGGCCAGGGCGGATAGTAGAACTTCTCAAAAGAGTTGTTTGTGCTCAGCTGCACTTCCTTGGTCACTTCCCTCCCTTCAGGCTTCCATCACCCCACTGGGCCATCTCTGGTCCAAGTGGCCCCATGATCACTGTCCTGCACACCAGTGGCCTTGCTCAGTTCTCGCCCTCCTCTGCCTCGAGCCGCATTCGGCTCATAGTCCTGTCTCCTTTGGAAACACTCTCTCCTCTTGGCCTCCGGGACACTAAATCCTTCCAGTTTTCTTCCTAGTGGGAGGGCTGCTCTTTCTCGCCTCCCTTCCGAAACCTCTACACATTGGTGTCCCCAATCTGCCCTTGGCCACAGTTCTCCCTCACTCCCTGGAACAGGAGTTCTCAATTTTTTGCTCTCAGGCCTGCTTTACACTCTTAAATTTAATGAGAAACCCCGAGAGCTTTTGTTTATGAGAGTTACAGCTGTTAATATTTATATATTAGAAATTAAAACTTAGGAATTTGAAAGAACATTTCATTTTAATTCATTTAAAGTAATAATGGCCCGGCCGGGCGTGGCTCAGTGGTTGAGCATCGACCTAGGATCCAGGAGATTGGGGTTCAATCCCCGGTCAGGGCACATGCCCAGGTTGCAGGCTAGGCAGCCGATCAATGACTCCCTCATCATTGATGTTTCTATCTCTTTTTCTCTCCCTCTCCTTTCCTCTCTCTGAAATCAATGAAGATATGTTTTAAAAAAAAAAAATGCTTATTATATGTTAACATATATAACATTTTTCCTATAAAAATATATTTTCCAACCCCCACTTAGAAGATTATTTTACCGTTTTTCAAATCTCTAATGTCTTTTTTTCAATTTTTTATTTTTTTAAAATGTTTTTATTGATTTTAGAGAGAGAGGAAGGGAGAAGAAGAGAGAGAAAGAAACATCAATGATGAGAGAGTCATTGAGTGGCTGCCTCCTGCATGCCCCCGACTGGGGATCAAGCCCACAACCGGGGCATGTGCCCTGATGGGAATCGAACCTGTGACCTCCTGGTTCAACAACTGAGCCACAGCAGTCAGGCTCTAATGTCTGTCTTAACAGAAGCCCGCTGGGTTCTCATATCTGCCTCTGGATTCAGTCTGTTGTGATACGTTGTTTTGGTGGGAGCATATGAAGAAAACCTGGTCTTAAACATACATATTGTTGGAAGAGGGAGTAGCATTTAATGTCCTTTTTTAAAAATATAACTTTGGATAACCTTCTTTGATTGGACACCCAAACTTGACAAATGGTAGTTTCTTAAAGACTGATTAGCTACATTGTGGAATCTGAAATTATACCCATGAGCTTTGTGCACCTTGTTACATGAAAATGCGTTGGTCTACCGTGTGCTTTGGGTGGGTCTTTTACTCATGAACGATTTTATGTATTACACACTGGTCATGTAGAAAATATTGGTTCACTGAGTGATGCAGATCCTGCAAGTGTTGGCACAATATTAAAAACTCACATTTGTTGCCAGCACCACATGTCTCATTAGGAAAGTCTTTGAATATGAGGAGCTGTCAAGGTCAGAGCAGAAGATCCAAGTTTTCCAAAATTCAGATTTGTCTCTGAAAGCTCAAAATTTTATGATTAGCATCCAATGCTGTTATTTGTTTTCCTTGAAGTGACAAGTTCATTTGATTGATTTTGGATAAGATATCTGCTGTCATCCGAGACTGAATAACCACGGTTTGTGCTCCAGTCTGTGAAAAACAGACTAATTGCGCTCTCAGTTCCATCACGCAGGAGCTCGACCTTAAGACAACCATCATGTTTGGTTTGCAGCAAAGTGCTTCATGCACCTTCCCCATCCCATCAGATGAAGTTATTAACAAATCATGTGCTTACTTTATTACAATTAATGATTTTTTCCTGCTTCGTAGGCAATGCTTTAAAGGGAAGAGTCCCCCTTTACTAAACCAGGAGTGTGTGTGGGTGACGACCACAGTGCCTCCTAACACATTCAGCGCTGCTGCTTCGAGTCGTGCTCAGATGGCAGCAGTTTTACCCACCATGGCTTTTGCACATCGGTACAAATGGCTACACAGTGCAAAGGGCAAATACTGGTCAGTATTGTTGTGAAAAGTCTTAACCTTGTGACCACCCTTAGAGACCCCCAGGGGTCCATGGACCAAACTCGGAGAGTCACTGCTGTAGACTGTATCCCCTCCAATCAGCCTCACCTAACTTCTAAAGGCCGAGCCTCTGGCTAATTATTTGTTTTGCAAAGTCTAATTATAAGATGGCTAATCATTGGCAATTATATCACAAGTAATTTTTGAATAATGGATTTAATAAGGTTATTAAGCCCATTAGTGTTTAGTACTTACTTGTCCCTTTTTTAAAACATGAAATTAGGTTAGCAAATCTTAGCTGCAAGTCCCTTCTCTCCCATTTCCTGTGTTTAGTGCCTCAAGTGGCTTGGTTTGCAGTTATACACTGCTTTTCAAAATTGTCCTCTCACGTAACATCTGTTGGGTCAGAGAGAACAGATGACCTCTAACTGTCAGATTCTAGGACACCTCTCACCAAAGATGAGTGTTTAAATGTCCTTGAATGGCGTTACTGTGCCACTTGCAACAATGGCTTTTTCTATTTCCTTCTAAGCATTTGCTCTGTTTCTGGCCCCAAATAGCAAATTTAACCTAGAGGTAGAGGGAGTAACCTGTACTCTAGACAATTTCATCTTGTTCACACCCCCTTGTGTGGACTCGCTGGTCTCACTCTTATCTCTTCCGCTCGATATGGTGACTTTGGTAACTGGGCTTTGGTTGTTTGGGCTTGAGGAACTTCTATGGGTAACATCAGCTTCTCCCTCCCTCCGTGAGCTCGACTTTCAGAGCACAGTAACCCTGGCCCTCAAGAGACATGGTTCTTAGGACGTCTCAGGCTCCAACCCGTAAAATTGGCCATGTGTTGCCTCCAGGCACAGCTGGCTGAGGGCTGCAGGAAAGCGTACTCACTGGGGAGAAGCAAGAGGCCTCCCCTGAACAGTTCCCCCCAGTGTTTCTAACTCAAGCTGCACCAGAGAGTGGGGTGTGGACATGAGCGCCATGTTGTCCTATAGCCGCTAAACTTGAACATTGGCGAGAACTTCAGAGACCGCCAGGTGCAACTCAACTTCATCATGAAAATGAGGTCCAGGGGTGCTCCTGCTCGGGCCACACAGACCAGGGCCCCCGCGCCTGTCAACACAGTGTCCCCTAGTCCGCCACACCCACTCAGGGGGTTGTACATACTGCTTTTCAATGAGAAGTCCTCCCTCCCTGAAGTTTGGGTCTTGTTTCCACCCTTCTACTGGGCCTTGGCTTTTGGAGGTGATCCGAACATAAAGTACTATTTTTCATCTTAAACAATATTTTTTCTTCTCACTTATAATTTTCCTTCCTAATGTCAGGCCTCCAGCCCCCAAGCTAACAACCTCACATAGATCTCTTTTTTTGTCTTTCCTGGACCAACTCAGTTGCTTTCTGAATCACACTGGGAGGAAAACAAAGCAAAATGCGTGGTTTTAAGGGTTGTGTTTTGAATTTTCTGAAATCAGAGAGTCCAGAAAACAGACTTTGCTAACGTGTCGAAGGATTCGCAGAGTTGCCTTTTGGCGCGTTTACCTTGTATCATCATTATTTGGACACTTATCTGTCCCACTTGAATGTGATTTGACTGTAGAGATGGGACAAGCCTTATTTTACTTTAAAACAGTTATAGCATCTGTGCCTGATTAGGTAGCAAGTATTGAACTATTTTTAAAATAAATGAGTAAAGATATAATCAGAAAAGTTATTCACACTATGCAATGTCCTCCTTTAAATAAAGAATGGGGTGCTTAAGCTATGAATAGCTGTTCCCAGGCGCCGAGTCGACACCCCATCATGGGTAGCAAATTGGTCTGTGTGCCTCTCACTCTGTCCAAGCATCGTCTCCACCTTCCAACCAAGAGCATCCACACCAGCATGAGTCCACGGCCTTGAGACTTGCCTATTAACTTTATAAATATTAATTTCTGAGGGCAAGTAATCAAGTACACTTTTTTGTTCCTTGAGTCAGAAAAATTTAGCGATGTGCTTGAGTATTTTCCATCAGAGACCAACTCCAGAGCCCCTGGGGCGAGAATACTCCCTTCTCACCTGCACTGGTCAAATACGATTTGCATTACATTCCACTGGGTGGTGGACTCTGTCAGTGGGTTTGCTGTATGTCACTAGAAGCCATTCCTAGTAACTCACATCTCAACATCTTGGGAGCGAGTCCCATCTCGCGTCTATTTTTACATAGATACACTGAAATGTTTGACGGCTTGTAAACATACATACCCACTAGTGGAGTTCAGAAATCCAGTAGCACCAGAGAGTTGGGGCCAGTTGAGCTCATCGGTAAGTGCTCTTGGTAAATCAGAGAAGGATTTCTAAAGAAAAAATAAAGTGGCAGTGATCAAAATGGTCATTTGTTTTCTTCAGGTAGTAAGATTATTCATTGCCTAGGTGTTGATATCTCCCTGTCGGTCTGCCTCTCGCTCAGTTTCTTTCTTACTCTCTCTCTTTAAGGGGCTTTGGCATTTAAAGCTTACGCCTCTGAACTTTAACCATTGTCAGAAAGTTCACAAAGGCCCACGTTCCCCATGACCTGGCTCTGATTCAGCGTCTGTGGGTGATGCAGAGCCCGTGGTGGCTCATGTTCATCCCTTACTTGAAAGGGCTGTTTCAGGAGATGGGTAGACTTCCTACTCTTTTAAATTCGCTGAGATGTTCTCTGTATTTGAGTTTAGACATTCAGGGAATCGATTGCTTGAGACGTAATAGTACCTGAGCCCCCAGCAAAAATGCCTTCTTGAGTTCAAAGCTGTGCTCTCAGTCGATAAGAGGCTGCCTCCCACCTCCTGGGGGGGTGTCAGACACCTTTGAGAATCTAATTATGGCTCCTTTCCCCACAAGATGCACGTGTACTTGACACGGTCTGTGAGTTCAAAGGGTTCACAGACCCCCTGCAGCCCCTGTACAGACTCCGGCTCTAGAACTCCCTCCATAGAGCATTGATAGAATTAGGATCCATGGAACTGCATTTCTATGGCTCATGCAAAATGAGAGAAGATTTCACAGCTGAGAATGCTCCCAGCTGTGTCCCCTTATTGTCTCTTTTAGAAATGTCCTCTGGGATGAACTCTCCTCTGCTCTAATTTCTAGAGAAAGCTTATCTGGACTGATGTTTTCAGAACAGGGCTCTCAGATGTGACACATAAAGGCCCTGTTAAATTTGATTTTCAAGAAACAAAATGTGGTGAAAACACACAGTGGAATACTATTCAGCCTTAAACGAACGAACAGAATAGAAACAGACTCATAGACACAGAGAGACAGACTGACAGCTGTCAGAGGGGAGGGGGCTGGGGGCCTGAGAGAAAAAGGTGAAGGGATTAAACCAAAAAAAAAAAAGAAAAGGAAAAAACCACACAAAACTGTGATCTAATATGATTCCTGTAAGGTTAGTAAGAGGGGACCAGACAAAGAGTTTAAGAACTGACAATGCCACATACAAAACCCTAAGGCTAAATTCATAATATTATGTACAGGAAACACCAACAATCCCCCCCAAAGGGCACACTTGAACACCAAGTACACCAGTTATCTATTGCTATGTAATAAATTACCCCAAATTTAGCAGCTTAAAACCTATGACATACAAGCTTACCAGTAACAATAACAACAACTGCTCAGCCCCAGGATGGTGCCTATTCAATGCTCATGTAAACTTCAGCTTGGGCTAAATAAATAACTTTCGGGGAAAAGGTATAGCATCTCATTTTTGACCCTATGCCAGTTCAAACACATATAAGGTAGCAAAGAAATAGTCCAGGCAAGAATTCTAGCAAAATATGACCAGTAAACAGAAGACAGGATGGCAAGCAATCATCTTTCATCATTTTGCCCAAAAATAACTCTTTTTATTATTTTGTTACCTCGTCGGCTTCTCTTAGTTTCTGCCTGTCCCCTTTTCTATTATTTATTATTTCAGCGCTAACCCCATGATTTATTTATTCAGTGAATGAACTGAGGGATGCATTTATCTAACTGTCCCACACGAAATGAAAATGTATCGCGCGGTTGGACTCTACCGGATTCAATTCCTTCCATCATTATTTGCAGAGCAACTGGGGGACTGTAGTGAAATTCATAACAGTGAGAAAAGAGGAGTTTAAGACATCCTGCTCTTACAGAGAATATCACACATCAATTCTTTCTTGGGGCCTGCAAAAAAAATTCTCCCACAAACAGGAAAAATAAATCCTTGGAGGGCCGGAAACAGGCTAGCAGGGTGCCTTCAGGAAGGGTGACTCTCCCACACCTTTGTTTGGTTTTGTAAAGGTGGGGTCATCTCTAAAGCATCAGGCTGTCATTTTTCTGGGGGGAGGGTAGTTTTCCTAAGAGGTAGTATCTGGAATTTGGCTCTGGCAGAAGCCCCAAGTCCACAGTCAAGCCACAGAGGTAAGGTCATGGAAGCCGTGACTAGGGCACCCAGTGACCAGGCCTGAACTGGGCTCTCATTGCCCAATACCTGCTTGTATGAAATGACCTCATTTCTCCCTCCCCCCTCTTTCATCTCATCCCAAGATCTATTTTTCTGACTGGCTCATACAATGGTCCTGGTTACTGCTGCAGCCCCTGGCTAGGGTCCCTGTCTCCTCACTGTGGAGATCATTCGGATCTGCCATTGTCCTGTGAAAGCATTCACAGAAAATATGACAATAAATGAGCATGATGCATTCTAATAAAACTTTATTCACAAAAACAGGTGGAGGGCCGCATGTGGCCTGAGGGCCATTGTTTGCTGACTTTTGCTCCCGGGTCTGCCAGACTGTTTCTAGCTGGGCTCCATGTTGAACTGCATTATCTTGGGTAAGTTAGCTAACCTCTCTAAGTCTCTGTTTCTTTGTCTATAAGATACATATAATAACAGGGTCATTTTGTATTAGATGAGATAATACTAAGTACAATGCCTGGTGTTTGGTCAATACATGGTAATATTTGCTTAATGTTATTACTATTATAATTGTGAGTTTATGTGTCTATCTTCTCAGTAAGACTTGAAGCTCTTTGATGTTAGAGGCTGCTTTTCACACCTAGAGCCCCAGTGGTCTATCCTATATCTTTTCTCTGACTTTAATAATAGAACTGCCACTGTGTTAGTTGGGTTCATGGCTGTCCAGCCAGGGACTGCACGTGGCAGCCTCCACTGCAGTGTGGGGTGGCCCTGTGACTAGATTCTGAATGATGGGGTGTGTGAGAGGGATGTGTGCCACCTCTGTGTCAAGTGCTCCCAAGGGGTGGCCCTTTTTCTTCCCTGTAGGTGGGAGGTGGTAAGGGAGGGAGCAGCCGCCTTAGACCCCAAGGTGGAAGCTGCATGTTGGGGACGGTCTCCCTGTCCTGCCAGCCCTGGGCTGCCTTCCTCCGGATTACTATGAGGAGAAAACACACTTCCATCTGAAGTCATTGAATTTTGGGATTCTTTGTTGCAGCAGCTAAACCCGTACCTTGCTTGCTTCATAACTAGTCTCCTAAAAGGACTGACCCTCTCGCTCTTCTGCTGGCTCTCAAGCATGTTACCGACAGGAGACCATGACCTCTCTGCTCCTCTCTGACCTACTTTCCTTTGGCTCTTTCTCAATTGGGGTTTTAGTTCTTGGCTCGGCTATGCGGTTCTCAATTCCTGCCTCTGGAATCTTTGGACCTGAGTGTTTCATAATGCTCCCCTGGATCTTCCTCTAGGAATTACTGTTTAGCTCATCCATCTGACCAGTCTTGCAGCCATTGCCCTGAGTAGGAAATCTCTAGGAAATTGTACAGTAGCCAGTCTCGACCCCCAAGCACTCGTCAAAGGATGAAGTGGGTCTTCTCTGTCCCCTCAACCCCTCCCCCCGCAAGGAGTGGCCTGGAGGGAATCGGACGGTTCCATGAGCCAATGACTGAATGGCGTGAGCAATCAATCCCAGCCATCCAAAATTACGTCTAAATGCAGACATTTCCTCTTTCCACGTTCCAATGGACTTGAGATTCCAAGGGTTTCCCATGCGATCAGTTAGTTCCGTGAGGCCCATTTTATGGCTGAGGAGCTTGAGGGAGAAAGTGGTAGATATTTTTAATCAAGGGGCAGGAGACTGCTCCAGTCTCAGCATCACCAGGCCTGCACAGGTGTCTGGTGACTCACGCTCCTCCCCATGTGGACACCTCCATCTAACGCGATGGAGAGCGGGTGTGTGGGCTGAGTAATTATAAATGCCTTTCAGAAGCATGGAGCTTAAAATAATTTCCTCTTGCAGTTTTTCCTGACTCCGAGCATTGGCCTTTTTAATTCTCGCAGACGGCGGTGAGGGCGAAGGTCACCGATGTTTTTGGAAGAATGAGCTTGCAAGAGCATCCCACTTCGCTGGCAGGTAGGAGGCCCAGATGCTCACCTTGGGCAGCCCCAATAGGGCCTTGAATTGATCAGGACTTGGGGCAACGGCCCATCTGGCTCTTGCGCCTGAACCGGGAACAAGAACAGAAGAGCATCCTGCCTCTTGTGGCCCCATTGCTGCCGGAGGAAAGCGCTCAGCATGGGGAACATTCTCTCTCCCTGACAGGACGAATGCGCAGCAGCCCAGACTGAGGCTCTCTGCTGCCCACTTGAGCATCTGTAACCTGCCAGCGCGCGAGGTGTTCAAGGAGCAGGAAATGGCATCTGGCCCAGTTGTACCAACCAACAGCCTTTCCTCATCTTAAAAAAAATAAAAGAAAGTGCTCTACCTCTTAAATACTCCTGGAGTCGATGTGAAATTAGGTGAGATAGGATTTCCATATTTTATACGCACCATGAACATCAGCCAGCAATTTCTGCTTAATGGAAGCTTTACACTCCCTGGTAAATTCAGAGAGTGGAAAGGGGCCGCTGGAGACAGTCACCCTGGAGCTTCGAGACTTATGTGCTGAGCTGTCTGCGGGCCAGGAAAGAGTCTCCAAACCTGACCTACAAATCATCTCAAAGGGGAATGAAGCGCATAAGGGGCTTGAGAGACTGGAGCCACCTTGCTCTGGGGTAATATGCATTTTCTGCAGCCAGATTAAGGGTTCACTGTGTCCTTGACACAGCGCGAAATTCGATCCATGCCTGCTTACCCTGCAGCCAGCCGCCTGCCGGGGCCGTGCCAGGATTTTATCAAGTGCAGGTACCAGTCTTCGCTGGTGAGATGAGCATTTGGAAAATTGTGTTTCAGAGCTGCTTCCCTCCGCTCACCCCGCCCCCACCCGCCATCCCATCCTGGTTCAGTGAAACGAGGCGCTTTTATATTTTGGAAATAATTTCCGAGCAGATGGGGAAGGAGGCAGGAGGGCGGCAGCTACCGCGGGCCTCGGTGCTCTCTCCCCTTCCTTCCTTCTTCAGCAAAGCAACTCAGGCAGGGATTGTTTTTTCCAATGAAAGAGGGAAAAAAAGACAGCCTGAAAGTGTTTTCGGATTTGTTCCTTGCTTTCCTTTGAAATCTTTCAAAGTTGAGGTCTTCCGTGTGACACGGAGGCTCATTGTGAGCCTGACTCCTGGGGACGCCTGGGAGAGAGGCGAAGGCTGTTTGGGGGGGGGGGGCAGGGGCATCTGGCCCCCAGCAGGGCGAGGCTCAGGACCCTGCTTCTGAGCAGCCACCAGGGCGATTCTTCACACTCTCTTTATTGAACTACAAATATCTTTCCAAATGAGCACACGCCTAATCTAATTAGCTGTAAACAGGCCTCCCGGGTGCCACGCTGCTTAACCAGAGGATGGCAGGAGCGGGAGAGAAGGGGCTGCTGCAGGGACGGTCCCCAGGCTGTGGCTTCCTTGGTGGTGGCACAGCTGGGACAGGCGATGCATTTGCAGGGGCGTCTTCTGCTTTGCAGGGAGACAAGGGCAAGCAAATGTGCCGTGGTCTCACAAGGAGCTGCCTGTTTGCTCTGTGTTTCCCGCACGCCTGGGCTCTCTGAGGACCCGGGTTCTTTCCACTCTGTCCCCGCTGTGTCATTGGCCCCTGTCACAGGGCTCGGCGCACAGTAGGTCCCAAGTTAGTATTTGGCTGTAGGTTGTTTGTACTTGCTACAAGCTTCAAAAGCCAAACAACCAAAACATGAGCCATCTGAGCTCAGCACACCTCCTGGATGTCTGCGAGGCCCGGTCCCCTGCCTAGGCCGAGTCCCTGTGCCGATGAAGAGGTTCTGCAGGTCACATTTTAGAAGTGGAAAGCTGTTTTTAAAAGGGAGCATAATCCATACTAATGAAAAAATGAAGGAACGGAATCAGCCTAATATTTGGTTTGGGGGAATGGCTCAGTAGTTTATGGCTTGTACACCGAGAGAGTTACAGTGGAGCAGCGGCAACTCGAAGCCTAAAGACTAAGCAGTAATGTGGGGAATGGCTCTGGGTAGTGCTGACTGTGAGAGGGGAGGCCCGCCAGTGGCATACTTGCTTTTCACGAGACTGCCTTGTGTGTGTGTGTTTGTGTGTATATGTGCTTGTGTGTATATGTGTTCGTGTGTGTGCTTGTGTGTATATACATGTTTGTGTGTATGTGTTTGTGTGTATATGTATGTGTGTGTTTGTGTGTGTGTTTGTATGTATGTGTGTGTCTGTGTGTGTTTGTGTATGTGTGTATGTGTGTGTATATGTGTGTGTTTGTGTATGTGTGTATGTGTTTGTGTGTATATGTGTGTGTGTTTGTGTGTGTATATGTGTGTTGTGTGTGTGTGTGTGCATTGTGGGTGGAGAATGCTGGCAAAGCGGAAAAATAATGAGAAAAGTTTGAGATGATGGGGATTTTTTTTCACTTCTCAAAATTAGTTCTAATATTGACTTTACACATTCATTTTTTTCCAAGAAGAATATTAAAAGAATCTTTATTTCAAAGCCAATCTTATTCCATAACGCTCAGCCGACTCTCTGGGTGGCAGCATTAAGTGGAGTTCTAACGGTCTGCTAATAATTCGGCACTTGCTTGTCCTTCGCTGTGAATGTGTAACTTCTATAATTAGATAAAAGGAACACGGCATGTGCACTGTCCCCTCACTCAGGCGACAGGCTTCCTTCCCGTTGCTCTGGGCCGCGGCCACGTGGCTCGCTTTGGCCGATGGGTTGACGGTGGGCGTGATTCAGCAAATGTGTCTGTGGAGAGGCCTCTTACACATCTGCCTTTACCACAAAAACACGGCCTGGGCAGATCGCCCAACCCAGGAAAACGGGAGACGTACCGAGCAGTTCCTGGCCCAGTGCTTGACACACAATCTTTTGTCCTCGAATCTACGCAGAGGCCGTCCCCTGTGTTCTGAGGTTTAGTGTTGAGAAGTGCGTCTGATGCCGGAAGGATCTTTCCTCGGAGTCTGTACCCTGGCTGGTTGGTGGCTGGGCAGCATGATTATAAAGTTTTTCTTTATACTTGGAATAAAAAGAAAAGCAGACATGATGGGGAAAGAAGCTCTTTCGTGCTTTGGGCTGTGGCTCAGTGGGGGTTTGGGATTGAAGACAAAGATTTCCTCAACTCAAGAAAACTGTCTTTTGTTATTTATTTGGTCACTGTTTCCTCTCTGCCGGATGCTTCCTCTTCTTCTGGGTTTCCTGTTCAATCCCAGGACCTATCCTGCGTGCCCCTCATCCGGGTTCCAGAATTTCCCCAGCCGCTGACTGGCTGTCCTGTTTTTTGTGTCATCCCACTTGCTAGTCGGTACGGCCACTGGGTTCTCACATGGGGGAGTCACTGCGTCACCTAAAAGGAGTCTTCCTGGTCTTAGGTCGTTCCTTTTTTATGGGTACAGTTGCCTCTCAGTTACTGTTGAGAATCTGAATTTAGCATTTTATGAAATGTCACTCTTCCCCACTGCCAGCTTTTTTCAAATGAACGCTCTTCTTTTGAGATCATGAGTGTTTTATCCGCCCGATGTTTCTGGGCTTGCTCATAGTTATGAAGGGAGGTCTATGTTTGCCACTTTGGGGGTCTGGGGAGAGGTTCAGAGTGTGCTCAGGTTCACGTCCCATTTTTTTAGTCTGAGAAGATGGGGTCAAGAGAGAATTGATCATTTCTGTATTTTAATGTCCCTGGATCAGAGCTTCAGTTTCCTAGGAGAGGCACAAAGGCACCGCACCCAGGGGTGCTGTAGGCCAATGCTTCCCCATCGGGCCAATGTGTCCGTGTGACCAGGCAGGGGCACCCTGACCTTCTCTGACAGGTGCACGCACTGCCTCTTGTTTTCGAGCCTGTTGTGACGATGCCGCACATTGCTTATCACATTGTTTGAAATGCACTGAATTGAAAAGGATGCCCCTTTTTTGGCAGATTTTGCTGAGCAGGAAAATTTGCACNATTGTTTGAAATGCACTGAATTGAAAAGGATGCCCCTTTTTTGGCAGATTTTGCTGAGCAGGAAAATCTGCACCTGTTTCGAGTTGGCATCACATTTAGAGAGAGCGAGGGGAAACAGACACGAAGGCCAGCGCAGCCAGGGCGATTGCTGCTAACATTACTCACCAAGGACATCTGCGAGGCCGTGATCCATTTCGGAGGGATGTGGAAGTGCGCCCCCGCTGAGTCTCCCAGCAAAATGACTCCCCTGGGCTCCGAACCTGGGTGGCACAGGGTATTTGCATTATTTATGCTCTCCAGCAGGTTCAAGCCTCCAGCCTGTGCAGATACCCTGGTGCGCTTTCCATGCACAGGGCATCGTAACGGCGATGCATTGCCACCTCTTGTGTGTTGCAGAGTGAGGGACATAGCATTTATAGGAGCTCAATGAGATTTCTGGGCCGTCGAAACTGCGAGCTAAGCTGTACAGATGAAGGTGAGTTTCCCAGCTCAGCAGAAAACAAACTGCCGCGACACAGCCCGAGTGAATGACGGATGAGTAAAGGCTTCAGAACTTTATCTGGATTCAGCAATGTGCCCTAAAGTTGGGTTCTGGAAATTGTTTTGTGGAAAACACGCCAATTTCTGTTATAATTCACTTTAAGAATTACAGATCTCATGGAGCAATTTTGATTTATCAAAGAAGTTATGGCCCCTTAAAGCTCTTAATCCATATACCCAGAAGCACCAGTTGGGCGATTCTGGCTGATGGATGGGGAGCTGGCCACACAGAGGTCGCTGTGCAGCCGGGTGTGCTTGGAGGTTAAGAAGCACTTAATCTGATTTTGAGGGCCGTCCACACAAATCATCCACCCGTGGGCGATGCACATACTCTTCCAAATCCCTTTAGATCCTGGAAGAATTAACTGACGCCTCCCAGAGTCAGAGAGAGAAGCCTCCTTCCCCCACTTCCATCCCCTCCCCCAAATCCGCCTCCCTCCAGTGGCTTCCCGTCCTGGGCCCCTGTGACAGCTAGAACTTGGCCACACAGATGGTGACTGAGAAGGCCCGGGACATCCGGGAGGGTTGGGATGTGGGGAATTGAAGAGGCTTCCCACAGTGACCCCAGAGCCTGACGCCAGGGTGTCGCCTGGATCTGAGTCTATGCATCATCAGTTCGTTCCTTCCTGTATTCCTCAACGGCGTTTCTAAACTGCGTAACTGCATTTTCTGCCCTCTTCCTGCCCCTCGGAGAGCTTAACTATATATATATATATATATATTTTTTTTTTTTATCCCTCACCCAAGGATATTTTTTCCATTGGTTTTTTAGAGAGTGGGAGGGAGGGGAGGAGGGGGAGAGAGAGACACCGATGTGAGAGAGACACATCAACTGGTTGCCTCCTGCTCGAGTCCTGACCAGGACCAGGAATTAAACCTGCAACCCAGGTACGTGCCCTTGACCAGGAATTGAACCTGTGACCCTTTGGTGTGCAGGCCGACACTCTAATCACTGAGCCACACTGGCCAGGGCTATGATTATACTTTAAGTTGGCTGAGGGTAAGGACTGTATCACGTCTGCCTACGAAAACTCAGAGCCAAGTACAGCTCTTGGTACTTGGTAGGAGCAGACATTCAGGAAGTAGCTGCTGAATGAATGAATGAATGAAATGCTTCTAAATGTTAGGGAAAACCATTAGCTAACTGTAAAACAGCGATGCTACCACAGGGTCTTGTCTGAGACTCTTTGGGCATCACCGGGAGATGTTCTCAGTAATATGTGGGTGGTAGTGGGTTTCTCCTAACGGTACTGGGAGCCCAGATGCCCGAGGCACTTAGGTACTAAGAATACAGAGATTTTGCTCAGCTGCTTTTGGGGACTCCAACGGCTGTAGCCTGGAGGGTTCCCTTGAGTCACCAGGTGTGAGTCTTTATCCCAGTGACACAGGGACTCTGTCAGTACGAGCCCAGACATCTGAACTTGCTGTGTTTTGAGGACACGGAGAAGGGTGAAAGTGGTCACCTCGCCCTATTTTCTTATTTGGAGAAGTGCTGGATCTCAGTCACCCTGTTTTCCGCACTGCAGCTTTTTCTGACATTGTCACTCAGGCTTCCAATCCTCAGATGCAGGAGTCGACTATACAAATTCAGCTTTGCTTTCTCTAGACTTTGTCTCCTTTTTCTATAATCCTTTCCATATCTCTTTCAGAATTATCATAAAAATATACGTAAATTGGTCAAGTTTAAGTTGTAGCATCAGGCACTTCCTCACTTGGGTGGTCTGTTCCCTCTAATTTGACTCAGACTAGAAAACAATATTCTGTTGTAATAACCACACTCACGTTTACAGTTCATACCTTCACAGAATTTCTTCTCATAGGGGATTCCATCTTTTGGATCAACACCCTTTAAAAGAGAAATGATGAGATTAGTGGTTTGTTTTTAAATTTTTGAGACACGTGCACTAAATCTTCCCCAAATGGCTTTAAAAGTACAAGGCCGATCAGCAGAGAAAACCCTTGAATGCCTCTTGAGTCCTTGATCCAGGAGAGCACACTCCGTGTGAGTGACTTGGGATTTAAGGAATTGGGGGCAGGAATAAGGAAATATGCAGAAACTGCACCGTCTCGCCCCAGAGGACGCAGGGCAGAGCTCAGGAGCTCCGGGCATCACTCTGAGGGGGCCCCGAGGCCCACTGAGCGGCCAGGGCGCAGTCAGAGTGGGTTCAGCAGTCGCTGAGCTGCAGCTCTCAGCCTCCCGACATTTCCGGCGCCCGAGGCCTGCTGCTTCTAGAGTCGCGTCTCAACAGGGCTGTGTGTGCCCCACCTCCGCCCCAAGGGACACTTAGCAATGCTTAGACATAATTCTGGTAGTTACAATGGGGGACGGGGAGGGGGAGCTACTAGTGTCCAATGAGTGGAGGTCAGAGATGTGGCTGAACATCCTACAGTTAACAAGGCAGCTCCAATGACCAAGAATCATCCCACCCAATGTCAATACGCTGACACAGAGACCCGGCAGGGAGGGTGGGTCTGCGAGTGGGACCAAGTTACCGTAGGCAAGGGGCTTCCTAACGCTCCAGGCCAATGCTGCCCACTCATGGATGGGCCGGTCCTTGGAAGGCTAAAGTGGACCCTGGATAACTTTAAGGGAAATGTTTAAAATATCTATCATCTATCTCTATCTCTATCTCCGTATCTATCTATCTCTATCTATCATCTATCTATCTATCTATCTATCTATCTATCATCTATCTATCTATCTACCATCATCTATCTATCTATCATCTATCTATCTATCATCTATCTCTGTATCTATTTGTCTATCTCTATCTATCTCTCTACTTATCTATATACACATATTTTTGTGTTTTGTTTTCTTTTGCTTGCCAAGCTATAATCTGGAGAGCACTGGTATTCTACTAGATATTAATAGATTTATTACCAGTTTCCTAAGACAGGTGGGGGTGACCTTCAGCAAGGCTTATAGGGCTGTGATGAGAGAGCCCACCTCCCATTACAGCACTGACCCCCTTTGTGTGTGACTGGAGCTCTATACCCCTCTCCAAGCAGCAGAGAGCCTGGCTTTGGTCTGTCATCTTCCTCAGGTGTGACGAACACACGTAAGGAGTAGGGTTTCAGGGGGCAGGGTTAGGTTTTCATCTAGTTCCTTACCCAGATGCCGTTGCAGTTGGAGTCCTGATGAACGTCCCAGTTGTCTGGCCTAAGAAGGAAAGATCAGCGTTGGTCTTTGCCATCTACTAGTCACTCAGGGACTGTCAGCTTCACGGATGAATGCACACCTGAGTGCCACCCAGGGCGTCATCGATAGACACCGGGTCCCTCAAGGAGGACAGCCACACACCATGTGCTGTGGTGTACACAGTCTCTATTCGGCCCCTTTGCCGCTGTCTTGGTTTTGGATGTTTGCTGGGAGCGGTGGACCAAGTCCAGGCTTTTCCTGATCGACTCTGTTCCTGAGCTGCTCTGTTGTGGAGCAGTTAGTGAGTGTACTAAAGGAACCTGCAGTCCATTTTATTTAGGCACTAAAATGATGCCTCTCCGATCCCTGGCATGTGGCTAATTTGATGCTTTGGCACTGCAGTCAGAGCTAAGGCGACACATCCATTTTTGGAAGTGAGAGATGTGATTGTCTGGACATCAGCCCAGGACCAAAATGTGACATGTGGCCACTCCCTGGAGCCGTCACCTTGGTCCTGGTAGGAGAGGGGACTGTGTCTGGGCCCATCCCTGTGTGTAGGATGCGTGTAGGTGGCTGAGTAAATGTCCACAGTGCTTTTACCTGGTTGTTTCTCCCACTGGACCATAAGCTCCCCGAGAGGAGGCCTGTTCCTGCCTGTTTACCGCCCAACCCCCAGCACAGCAGAGAGTGCTTGGCAGTTAGTAGGTGCTCGACGAGCCTCCCTTGGACAAGTGATGTTCCAGTTTCCACTGAGCTTTACTTCAACCGGGACATGGGTGGCCCTCCTCTCTGTTGGCATGAACCCCCTGGGCTGGGGAAAGGAGTGACATTTCTGCTTCCCTTTCAGAAGATGCTTTTCAGAACCAGTGACCGGCAGGGACAGTTACCTTCTGCCTGGGTATGTCATCCCATCGCTGTCGTTGCAGTCTCTCCCCCGCCAGTGGTAGCCACGCAGGGTCTGCAAGCCAAGGGCACACGGGAAGGGGTCAGGTTGGCCTCAGTGTGAAACGGTGAGGGGCCGTCAGAGCTGCCAGAGGGGCACTGACATCAGCTGTTTTTAAGTCAAATACAGTCTAGGAACACTCGTGATCACTAAGAAAACTAAGATAAAATACACTGTGGCAGTCGAAACAGAACATGGTACCAGGGCCAGTAACAGGTGGCACAGTCTGTGCACGTGGATGTGTGTGGATGTGTGTGTATACATGCTATCGGGTCTGTGGGTATATGGGGGTGCATATGTGTGAATGTGCATGCATGTTGCACACACATACCCACATGTGTACATGCATGTTCACACGTGTGTGTGTGCACTTCCACCAACTACAGGACCATCCAGCTCCCTGAACTTTCTCTATTAACCACTAGCCCTGTTGGGCTCTAGTCCATTGGTTTATTTGGGTCAAATGATTAATCATCTCACTGGATCATTAAAAATCTCTAGCTAATCTGGTTAATTGTGTGGATTTGTTATATGTTGGACCTGCCTGGCTTAAAGGAATCAAGAGTCATGATAATGTCAACTACTGTTTTCATTTCCCCCACTCCCAGGTGGAACATCTGAACTCTCACTAACACCGGGGACTCTGTGACATGTTGTTTGTTTCTTTCCCAAAGAACATCCTGACATCCTAACCGCTCTAGATCAAACATGGCCCTCACCTAATGTCACACACACTCGCACACACTTAAAAAAGTAAGTTGAAGTAGGTGTAAGAATTTTCAAAATAGTTCCCAACACTTTTCAAGGCCATTTTAATCCCCACGCAGACTTCCAGCTGGGAATGGCTTCAGGAAACAATACATGGTCTATGTATTACTAAGATACCAAAGAATCTGCAAAAATTGTGACATGATGGCCCTGGCTGGTGTGGCCCAGTGGTTAGAGCATTGGCCCCTGCACTGAAGGGTCGTGGGTTTGATTCCCAGTCAAGGGCATGTACCTGGGCTGCAGGTTCGATTCCCTGCCTTGATCCGGGCACGTGCGGGAGGCAGCCAATCGATGTGTCTCTCTCCCATCAGTGTTTCTCTCTCTCTCTTCCTTTCTCTCTCTCCCTTCCAGCCTCTTTAAAAGTCAATGGAAAAAATATCCTCGGGTGATGATTAAGGACAAAAAAATTGTGAAATGGTGTATTATCAAATTAATGAAACACTCGAGCGGAATTCGATCGCGTCTCGTCAGAGATACTCGCAGGAAGCGATGCAGAAGTCCCTGGCCACCTGCTTGCTGTCCCCGTACTTACCGGGAAAGCACTGTGCTTGTCTGAATCGACATCTCGGAACGGCACAGAATTCGTCACAGTGCTGGAGGAAAGGAAACAGAGCCCCTGGTGAGCTGAGAAAAAAGAAGCTGCTGTGAAAGCAAACGGAGACGTCGTCAGACGTGGCGGTGTGGGGCTGAGGTGGCAGAGGCCCTTCTGCACTGGAGTGATAGGAGCGCCGGGGCCACTGCCAGCCTCTCGCCCCGCCGCAGAGCCGTCTCCTGTCCGGTGCGTGACCGTCCCACGCGGGGCAGTGAAGTAACCGCACCGAAGCCTCGGAGGGCGTGGGGAGCGGTGCTGGGAAGGCGCCGGCGCTTTGGGCCCAGCCTCAGCACCACGCTCCACGCTTGGGCCGAACCTGTGCCTCGTCTGCAGCACCCTGGGGTGCAAGCCTTTTCTAAACCCCTACTTTTGAACAGCTTGTGCTGAGGACCGTCAGGCCCTCCCTGCGGAGGCCTGTGCGCGCTTCCCTGAGCAGCACGCGCGCAGGTTTATACCGCGTGGTAGTCAGAGGGCAGAGGTCGCATACGTACAATTTAATCTTCTGACAGATCTTGGCCAAAAGTGGGAGGGAACAAATATCAGAACTGCTTCTGTATTTCTGGAGAGGAAAAAAAGATAATGAAAAGAGTCGTTTAGTTCAAGGAACGGATCCCAGCTTCTAGAGCCCTTTTCTACCCTCTCTCCAGAATCCAGGCCATTTTACTGAACTAAATTTACCTCTTGTTCCCATCCCCACGCTTCAATGTCCACGTGGGAGCCTGTGTTCAGGCTCGTCCCTCAGCCTGAAGGCTGCCCCTCCCTCCCCGCCCTGCCAGCGTCCCCACCGTCACCTGTCCTTCCCCAAGGGTCTGCCCACCTTGGGCTCATTATTCAGACAACAGAATTCCCCTCCCTCCGTGTGCTCCAGTGCTTTGCGAAAGGGCTTGAAAATGAAGAACATTTTCAAAGAAAATGCAGAACATTTTCAAAGAAAATGCTTCCATCCTATGGGGACCTAAAATCAGGACTAATGGGAGAGACGTCAGGGCCCGGGAGGAAGGAAGAGGCCCTTCCCTGGTGGGGGCAGGAGACACTGCCCGTGAAACCCAGGCTCGGTGAGCAGAGGGCGAGCGTCTCCCCCAGGCTCTGAGCTCGGAGGTGCATGAAAGGCCCAGGCCTTTTGCCCAGCAGCCTTTTAGAAGGAGCGTGGTTCCCATGCCGCTCTGCTCAGGTGACAGAAGAAGACAGCAGGTGGGAGACGTTGGGAGTCCCTTTATCAGTGAAGGGAGAGGAACAGTCCATTCCTGCCAGCTCTAGGGTCCTGCAGCTGGCTAGGAGCAGTGTCAGCAGGGCTGGTGAAGCTTTGACCCCCTGCACAGGAGAACAGGCCACCTTTTCAGGCTATGAGTGAGGTCTCTAGGATGGTCGTGATGTTTGCCCAGCTTTCTAGGGTTAGAGCCACAGCCCTGACTAGGGCCCCCATCTCCCGGGGAGACCTGGAGATGGAGTGGCCTGCGAGGCCTGCAGGGTCCAGGCTGTCGCACGGCTCTCAGGACCCCGGAGCAGGAGGCAGGTGGGGAGGCACAGACCTAGGCTCTGGGCTTTGTGGTAACAAGTGCAATCTGCTGACCTGCTACAAATGCAATTCGTGGGTCCCACCCCATCTACTAAATCAGAAAACCCGGGGTGGGCTGCAGAAACCTGTGTGTCCATGGGCTCCGGGCTATGTGCTGCCCCCTAGGGTTTGAGAACTACGGGGCCAGGTCCTCGCTGCCGAAAGGGTGATTGTGAACTAGGAACACGAATGCCTCCTGGGAACCTCCACAAATGCAGAGGCTCAGGCCCCGAGGCCAACCTGCTCAATCACAATCTGCAGAATCTGCCTTTTAGAAAGGTCCCAGGGTGTCCGGGTAGCATGGCTGCGGGTGGAGGGAGTGCCCCACGCCCCACACCCCACGCCCCACGCAGTGCTGTGGGAGCCTGGCATCCCAGGGGGCTGCCAAACATTTCAGCCTGGCTGGAGCATAGGGAACCGTGAGACGGTGGTGAACAGCGGGGGGATGGAGACTATGCGATAGGCCTAGGATGCTCGTTACATGCTGTCCTGAGGGCAGCGGGGAATCCTTGAAGGTGTTAAGCAGAGGGATCACATATTTCAGAAAGACATCTCTGGGGGTGAGAGGATAGCCCGGAGGAGATGAGATGGGCCACAGAGACCTGTGGGCAGATGAAGACCCTGAGGCCTGCGCCCAGGGTTTCTAACCTCAGCCTTAGTGCCACTTGGGGCTGAATAACTCAGCTGTGGGGCTGTCTTGTGCATTGCAGGATATTTAGCAGCACATCTGGCGTCTAGCCACTAGATGCCAGCAGCCCCAAAAAGTCTCCAGACATCGCCAAATGTCCCCAGGGAAGGACAGAATTGCGCTGGCGGGCTGGGGAACCACCGGAGTAGGGGCGGGAGGGGCGGCTCAAAGGCTGAGTCCAGAGGCCTGGTGACTGACTGAGACCAGGACCGTAGACACACTGTAAAGGGAACGAGCCCAAGCAGGAGTTTACGCCACCTCACTGCCAGCAGTTTGGAGATACAGACACATTTGGAGACCCAGAGTTCAAAGTCAGGTTGCACTGGTGTGTTCGAGCGGCTTCTTTGCTCTAGTCTGGGGGCCTTGGACTAACTAACCTAACGGCAGTGCAGATTTTAACACCGATGATAATCACTACCCCAAAAAACTTACATGGACAGCCTTGTAATCGCCACACAAGATTGAATAAAATGTCATCCATTGCACAGCTGTTCACTGTCCAAACCGAGCCTGAGGGCCACGGCTGTCCTTGACATGCACATTGCAGAAGTTGGGGCTGGGGTGTGGGCCACAGATGATTTCGCTTGTCCAGGGGTCCCCAGGACTCTAGGTTAGACAGAGGTTTTGATTGTCGAGTCTTTTCATCACATACTGGGAAAGACTAACCTCATCTATACGCAGCAAGAACTGAACCGGACACAGAGCGGCGCTGCAGAAGTCTTCGCGTGCCCTTCTTTCAATTTGAACTTTGCTAGCCCGGGGCCACATGTGGGCTGTTACTAGCTCAGCCGTGGATCTAGACTATTGCCTCTGGCTGCCTGTAATCCCACCTAAAATGGCAGTCTCAAATCTGGGCTGTCCCTGGGCACGGGAGTCCTGCAGCATCTTCACTTTACAGCCTATTTACCAGCTTTCGGTGCACTGAGCTTCCCCCGCACCAGGGCGTTGCATGACTACAGAGCAACCGACGGGTCGGGTCGGGTCAAGGGAACCGTGGTGAGCGGAGGCTAGAAGGTCAAAGAGGGGGCAACCGCTCGTCTGCGCACAGCCAACCGGGAAGGAATTTCTGCACAATGAAGTGCTTTTCAGCTCTCGCTGTGTGTTCTTTTACTTGGATTTCATTGGTCTGGGGTGGAGTTCGAGCAACAGCGTTTTTAAAGGCTTTCCAGAAGATTCTATTGGGCAGGTAGGTGTAGGATCGGGGGCGTCATGTCCAGCCGCTGGGTGGTGCACGGCGCGATTCTAACATCTCACAGAGCCTGTGATGTGGCTGGTGCTTCCTGACACTCAGTACCGAGGAGGTCTGGTTGAGAGCGTTGACATAGTGGAAAGGGTGGGGACTGGGAAGAGGCTTAATCTGGGTTTGAATGGTAGGGTTCTCACTCACTAGTTACGCAGAGTGAGCCAATCACTTTGCCTACCGGACCCTTATCCTCTCATCTGTAAAATGGGTTGATCACGAAGGTGTGCCATTGACTCTGTAGGAGCTCTTGTGACAATGAAATACAGTGATCCCATGACTCGGGTACTCAAAACCCTCGCATGCCCAGTGTTCTGCCCAATCCCAGCAAATCCCCCCCGAGGAGGCTCTCAGGGCCTCCTGGGGGTGCAGACCTTCTCTGGAACCTTTGATTTCCTTCAACAATACGGAACCTCCCCGGCCGGGATTCTCGCTGCCCGACTGGCGGTGCTGAGATGGCAGGAGCCCCTGTGCGCTTCTGTCCGCATCCCGCCTGGGCCTGCGGTTCCATCGGCCACCACTGTGGAATTCGCTGCCGCCAATATCGTCTGAGCAGTTTTGCTGAAACGCTTATTTGCATTTTCTGATTGTTTTTTTTTTCTCAGAGCTCTAATCTGGGGAGTAAATAAACTGGAGGAGGGTTTTGAGAAGTTTATTATTGTTGAATTGTTCAGTAGGGTTTTTTTGGCTTCGTGCACAGAATTATTGGAATCCTGCCCCGTGAAGTATGTTCGCCATTCTGGTGATGGAAATAGAAAACTGTAAAATCCTAATTAGCCCCTGAGTTAATGCCAAGGCAGTTTGTGCTGGTGCGGAAAACCAGGCGCTGAGAATACAGTTTTAGATGCATGCTGAGAAGAATAAAGGAAGAATTGTATTTTTTCCAGTTCTGTTCAGAATTCTGAAGTGATGGTCAAGGGCTTCAAGCCGTGTTTCAGTTTCTTGTTCAGTGACTTAAGCAGATGAGCTAAAGTAGCTCCAATTACATGTTCGTGATTCACTGAACTGAATGATGATTGGCAATGCAGACGTGGTTAACAGATTGTGTAGAAATGCCTGCATATTGCCACGAAACACTTATCAACCTTGCACATCAAAACCCAAACACCCCATGAGTAGTGTTGCCAGATAAGATATTGCACTGGACGGACTTACACTACAAAATTGTTCATCCTTTATCCGAAATTCAAATTTAACTGGGCATCCTCTATTTTCATCTGCTACCTCTGGCAGGCTGAGCACTGAGGAATTTTCTCCCCTGTCCTTTCAGGTCGCCAAGCCGAAGCTGCCTTCACGGCACTGCGTCAGGGTGAATGGTGAGCGGCGCAGCAGTGGGCGGGCCAAGGACAGGGGCCCCTTCCCCTTCCCCTTCCCCTTCCTCCTGCCAGGGCTCTAGCATCGAGGGAGACACCATTTTTTAAAGGCCTAATCTCTTGCTTTCTTTTCAGTTGGGGCTGATTTGTGACCAGGGCCTAAGCTAAATGCTTGATTCCATGAAAGCTGGTTTGAACCAAACATTCTATCTGTTGATTCGAAGTCTTGTTCCAAAGTGGAAAAATTAGGGGGAAGGATAATAAACACGTGATGATTTGGCTAGCATTTACGGAGTGCTGGGTAGGTCCCAGGCATGCCACCAGGTGTCCACGTACCTCGGCTCCACCCGCTCACCATCCACGCTTTGCGACAGGACGCGGTTCTTGTCCCTGTCTTACCGACAGGAAACTGAGGCTCGGTTTAGAAAGCGGAGGGGCAAGAAGGTATACAGCCTCCTCCAAAATGGTCTGCTGCAGAGCAGCAGGTCTCAGCAGTGCGCAGAGGACATTTGGGGACTTCAGGAGACATTTCTGATTGTCCCGACTGGGGAGGGGAGCCATCTAGTGGGTGGAGGGCAGGGACGCAGGTAAACATCCTGCAGTGCACAGGACAGTGTCCATGACAAAGGGTTATCCAGCCAAAATGTCATTGGTGCCGAGGTTGGGAAACACTGCTGCAGAGAGAAGAGACGGGGAAGGAGGGAGGGAGCTCATATTCCTGTTTTGATCCCAAGTCAACTCTGGTGCGTTGTGGGCTTGTGTCCAGAGCAGCCCCCGGCCTTTGGAATGAGAGAGCAGGGGGCAGGGAGAGGTGACCGTGCGCCCAGGGAGAGGCTGGTATTCTGCCCGCCGGTCACTTACCGGAGATGGGGATTTCTTGACGATCTGTCTTGCCTTCTTCAGGGTGAACTTCCACCCCTCCTATAAAAACAAAGTTAGACCACATGACCCCTTGTGTCATCTTTTCTTCCCCTATGTCTTATCTAAAGTTCAGATTTTTGTCAAGTCTGCGAGTATGAAACAAAGAAATTATTCCATACATTTGTGATAAAACAATTTGCAGGGAGGCAATTTCATGCTAATACTGATCTTTATGAAGGGACTCGGCCGGTGCCAGATGCCACGCTGAGCGCTCTGCAAACATCGTCTTGTTTAATCTTCACAACAGCTCCCAGAGAGCTGACCTTTCCCTCCGCAGGCGAGGAGATGGAGACGCAGCAAAGCTAAGAAACTGGCTGGAGATCCCAGAGCTGGTGCCTGGCACCCTGCCTTCCCGCCCGAGAGGCGTCACCGACCTCCCCGAGGACCACTCGTCCTGGGTCTGAAGGCCCGCGGCGGGAGGCGAGCTCAGTGCTGACACCCGCAAAGCGCAGTACCGTCCATCGTCCCTTACCTCCCTGCTCCTGGTCCGGCAGCCCCTTCTTTCAACCGTTTCTGGGGCATCCGAGCGTGCCCCGAGTTCACACTGCAAGTCTCAAGCCAGCTAATTAACCCCAGTAACTGGTTATGGAGTTCCATACTGATGCATTGGGGGTGGGGGTG